GTTTAGCACTGACTAAGGACTGGGAAGGAGGCAAAGAGGAGTGAGAGGAACATGGAAGATCTCCATTCAAGCTGGAAAAAGGAACAGAGCTTCTAGTCAAGAGAAGTAATCCCTGCCCAGTTAAAAAGGAGATAACTCGTATGTTCTGCCTTCTAAACTGGAATTGTCAGTGAAACTCAAAGCCTATCCTTGCAAGTTAAAGCAGAAACTGAAAAGAAAGTGTCTCTCCTCAAAGTTTCAAAGACCTTGTGGAAAAGCAAAAACACTTACTTATTGGCAACATATGATCAGGATTTTAGTGTGATTACAAAGTTAACCTCAGTTTTTATTATTGGTTCACCTCATACATCCTACCCCTGATTCCACCCGACCCTTTCCCCACCAGGTTAAATAAAATGTTTTGCTTATTTTTGAACTTTCCAAAGCCTCTTGTGTGCCATTACAGGAGTAAAATATAAGTAGGTGATTTTGTCTCTTCCCTCAAGTCTCTGGGCTGGGCCAGCATCAAAATGTATGATAACGTGACAGGGTGGGACAGCCATAGATGAACAAAAGAGAAGAAAATAGATATAGGGGCTGCTCAGCAAACAAGCAAGAAAAAACGAAGGGAAAACTCTGAGTGTGAAGGAGGGAAGAGGGCAAGACCATCATACAGGGCAAGGGGGCTCTGTGTATCCTGCTTCCCTTTGTCCCTCACTGGCCATTCCTTTGCTCCTCTCATAGTCAAAGTGCTTTTCTATGCCAAACAAATTAAGATGAAGTTAGAAGTGGCATTGGGCAAGATTGCGGTTCCACCAGTTCCACACACACTTGTAAACATTAGGCAGCTACGTACACTGTTTAAGTTCTGAAAGTGGAGTTTCATTATTGAATCATGTGCTACTGCTGCTTGATTGGCAGAATGTGATTATGTAATTGTCACGGATACATATTAGGCAGTGTCTGTGGTGTCTTCCTCACAGAGCTTTTGTCCCAACTTCCCTTCACAAGCACAGTGGGCTTTCCTCCCCTCCTCTACATGATATCGTGCTGTTTCCAGGCATGATGTGTGTGGCTTCTGGGGCCTTTCCCTATGCGCCAGAACAATAGGAAATAAACGCCCCCATTAGTCCAGTTCAAAAGGGGGCAGAGCTAAGTTCCACATTCCCACCTTTCAGCTCCTTAATAGGCTTGTTTCCAGTTGAGGGGGTCATGCTGCCTCAGCTGTGTAGTGGGAGAGGGGCAGATGGTCCTTTAAGCCCCTTCACGTTGCCCCCACAGCTGTGAGGCGATGCCACCAATCAGCTGTGAAAGGGGAAAGGAGACTTGCCTGCTGGGGGACATGGCGATTCTGATCATCTTGGCACTTCTGCGCTAACACAGGTCCAGTCTGCATTGGTAGTTCACACTGTTGTGCCAATGATCTCACATCGTCTCACAAATTTCTGTCTGCATTTCATGCCGCATCCACTCTCCTATTGTTTCATCTCAGCATCGGCTGTCTGCATCATTCGATTGCCATTGAGTGGTGACTCCAAGGTCACTACGGCATCTCACCGCCTTATCTGAACGTGGTTTTAAGGGGGCACAACGGTTCCTCGCCACTGTGAGCAAAAAGCAGACAACTGGAGCTGAATTCTCCCCTCCCCCCATCTTTTCTAAGGAGATGCACAAATTGTCAAAAAAGGCAACAAGTTAACTGAAAATCCAGTCTGTGTTTAAAAGCAGCCAGGGAACATTTTTCTACGATCATATTAGAACCAGCATTTGCCCGCCCCCTGGGCTCTTTACTGCCGGAGCTCCGCTCCTGTGCGCTCCTGCAGGAAATGACCCCTGGTTGTGCCAATGATCTCACATGTCTCACAAGTTTCTGTCTACATTTCATGCCACATCCACTCTCCTATTGTTTCATCTCAGCATCGGCTGTCTGCATCGTTCTATTGCCATTGAGTGGTGACTAGTACCTCCGAGGTACTAGTTTTTTACCCCGCATCTTCGGCGGGAAGCCTCGGGTGGGCCATGGGAGCTCTTCCCAGATGTGGCGGTGAGATTGCGCCCGGAAAATCCGCCTATCTTCCGTCTCTCTAGCATGCCTAATGTTCCATGTGACCGGGGCCAAAAACATTAAATTTCATTCAAGGGAGAAGAGAAACATTAAAAATACTGAAACACACTAAGCTGTATCAATTTATATCTTTCAGGAAGCAAAGACATCCTTAAAGATATATTTTACCCTGCACTGAGTTATTTTGAGGTTTTCAAAGGGATAAATGTAATCTTTCCAAAGTTAAAGACATGTACTGAAAAGTAACCTCCATTTGTACACTGTAGATTCCATATTGTGTGCTAACAAGCTACAGGAAACTGAAGATTTTGTATTACACCATCATGGTATAGATCAGGGGTCTTCAACAAGTGGCTCGTCAGCTACCGGGCGCGTGCTGGGTAGCGCATCCCCTAGTAGACCCAGAAAAAGATTTCAAAAAGATCTGCTCCAGGCTTTTCTTAAAATTTATTATTTATTTATTTGACTTATATCCTGCCCTCTCTGCAAAGCAGTCTCAGGGCGGTTTACAAAAACTATAAAACGCTAAAACAAGAAAATTAATAAAATCACAACAATAGAATTCTAAATATAACAAATTATAAAATGCTAGTGCGGTGGCTCAAGTGGTTAAGACGCTGAACTGCAGGCTGTGGAAGGTCGGTAGTTCAGCAGTTCGAGACCCGAGTGTGCCGCATGACGGAGTGAGCTCCCGTCTCTAGTTCCAGCTCCTGCCAACCTAGCAGCTCGAAAGCAAGGAATTGCAAGTAGATGAATAGGTACCACTTTGGTGGGAAGGTAACAGCGTTCCGTGTGCCTTGGTGTTTAGTCATGCCGGCCACATGACCACGGAAACGTCTTCGGACAGCGCTGGCTCTTCGGCTTTGAAACGGAGATGAGCACCGCAACCCTAGAGTCGGATTCGACTGGCTTTCGAGCAAGGGAACCTTTAGCTTTAGTACAACTAATATAACAATGGCAGACGTTTGCAGCATTCACAAGTATGCAGCCAGCATAGTCTGGGTTGTGTCAGGCTGTTGATGATATAATAATATTGATATTGATGTTAATATTGATGTTGATATTGGGGCTAGGGCCGCGTTTTATGTAGTGTGGCACCCTAATCAAAGGCCTGGTGGAAGAGCTCCGTCTTACAGGCCCTGCGGAACTGTAAAAGGTCCCGCAGGGCCCTGATGTCCTCCAGGAGCTCATTCCACCAGTATGGAGCCGCCATTTGATTCTTTTATGTGCAGTTTAACTTCATTTTTGTCTTCTTCCTACTCCAAGTTCTGTTTCTAGGGCAGAACAACACTTGGTAATGTGGTGGTGGTGGGTAGTTTGGGATATTTTTCATTATTCAGCAGATCTCGTTTGTTTGTTTTTTTAAAATAGATTCTCAATACAGACAACGCATACATAGCTTCAAAATTTCAGAGAGTAAAATACATACTATAAGCACCATTGTGTAAATATAACGTTAGTTCCAACCAAGATAGGGAGTTACAATTATAAGGAACAACTCGTGTAGTAAAACAGCCCAGGACAGAAAACATTTACTTTAGAATATATCTAAGCCTAGATCAACAACAACTAGTTGTGGTATTTCACCCTGAGAAGTGACTCAAGTATTGGTAGCCAGATTGTGGGGAACATGGAGTGCGCAGAGGGCCGTGAATATTGTCTTAGAGTGTCTGTAATTTTTGCTATGACATACAGAATCCATATCTTTTGATGCCATTGCGTGAGAGTTAAAGGAAATGTTGGTGACCAATGTGAACACATATATGAAAGTCACACTTCTCTTCCCAAATTTCCTTCCATTTCTGTCTGCATTGTCTTTATTTTCTGCTTGTTCCAGTTAGAGGACTCTGTGTGTGTATTTGTCTGAGTGAGAGAATGCAGTAGTTCTCTTGCCCCTAAACTGTTCTAGTACTTTCATTATCAGCACCAGGGGTCATTTCCTGCAGGAGCGCACAGGAGTGGAGCTCCGGCAGTAAAGAGCCCAGGGGGCAGGCACATGCAACAAGCCCCGCCCCCTGCTCCTAGTAGCCCCAGGCCACAAGGAGCAAGAAGAGGCCAGGTAAGTTGCAGAGCCCCCCCCCCCAGATAGCAATCCAAAACAGTCCAGTGGCACCTTTAAGGCCAAGGTTTATTCAGGTACAAGCTCTCCCTCCTTCGTGAGTACAGATCTGTGCGTCCCCCCCCATAGCTGGCAATCCAAAAGAGTCCAGTGGAGCCTGAGCGGTGGGTGTTGCCTTCTGACACACTTCTGGTGATGTCAGGAGGCGTGGCATATGCAAATAAGTTATGCTAATGAGCTCCTGCACCCCTTTTTCTACGAAATGACTCCTGATCAGCACCACCTGCTTCCCACGCCCCCGTTAATTTTTTTTAAATAAAAATCTGTCCTCAATGGGTAGAATTTTATTTGTTTTTTCCATAACAAACAAACCAAACATACACACATATAACACAAACGGGGGTATCAAATGCTTAAGCTTCCAATAATTGCCTCTTAGATATTCTTTATCTAATACAAGATCACGTATCATTATTTTCTATGAACTCACATTTTTGTATCTTAAAACCGACATCTGTACCTGCTATCTCAATGTTCTAACCTATACTTTGCTCTAGGGATTACATTTTTAGGTTACAATCATTTGCGCTATTACACCAGTTATAGAAGCGCCTCCATATGTTCTGGAATGTATAGTTTGTGGATCTGTTAAACTTCTTATTGTTAGTTTCAGTAACTAACAACAAAACACCAGGTCTCCTTTACGAAATAAAAAGCACGGTGATTTTGTTGGCACTGAGGTTACACGTGCATCTTGAACCGTGTTCAATACATGGAGAAGTCCAGCATTGTTGGAGAAATGAATTATCAACATTAAATGTTGTGTCTATATTTCAAATTCTGTATCATTTTATAATTGTCATCATCAGTCGTTCTTTTTTATTCCTTTTTATACAGATGATCGCCATAGTTATGGACATATTTACAGATGTGGATATTTTCAAGGAAATTGTAGACGCTTCTACAAGAGGAATCTCCGTATATCTTCTGCTAGATGAATCGAACTTCAGCCACTTTTTTAAGATGGCAGAGAAACAGGGCTGTCAAGTACAGAGGCTCCGGGTAAGTAATTTAGTCTGCAAGATGAGTAAATATTTATCACTCATATGTTCCAAACTAATTTATGGAAATTTTAATTGTAGAATAACAGGGCAGAATGAATATCTAGCAGTAGAAGCAAGGAAGAGTTTCCGCCAGGTTTCTGAATAGCCACTGGCCTGTTAATTCTGGAAAATAACAATTGCCTCTAGAGTGACTTGGCAAACTCTAGTAGAGCGGATTCTTCCTTAAGGCTAGATGGTGAAGGAATGGGGACATTTATTGGAATGGTAATCTAACATTATTCTGTCAGTTTTTATATTGTAATCACCTCCCTTGACCCATTGATATGGGCAGGGGTCATTTCGTAGAAAAAGAGCTAGGGGAACTCATTAGCATAACTCATTAGCATATACCACACCCCCTGACATCAGGTAATCACCTCCCTTGACCCATTGATATGGCATATGGGGCAGACTTCTCAAAATAAATTATTCAATTTTTTGTAGACTGGTAGATTAGTAAGAAATGTTTGTGGGTTTTCGTGGAATTATTTGCAAAGTAGCTTGATGTAATCACTGAATATACTGAAAAGTGTTAATATCTTTTTTTCAGAATATTACTATGTGCAAGATGTTAACTGTTGAAAAATATTTCAGTATTTGAAAACTTCTTTCAGTTTATCTGATACTGTCCTTTCAGAAACTACCAATTTAAAAAGATATTTTCAATGTAGGCAGATTTTGATAGTGTGATATTTCAGGTTTTTCTTATTTTTCCCCTATTGTGCAGTACGTTCCATTGTGAATTAAAAATGGTTATATGAAAGAGACATAGAATGATTAGTTGTTGTAGATTTTCCAGGCTGTATGGCTGTGGTCTTGGCATTCTCAGACCTGACGTTTAGCCAGCAGCTGTGACTGGCATCCTCAGAGGTATAACACAGAAAGATGGAGTACTCTCTGTGTCAAGGTGAGAAGAAAATGGTAGGCAGGTTATTTATATGTACTCAGGAAGGTGGGGTAGGGCTGAGTCATCATCTTGTAGGAGTTCCCCAGGCTGTGACATGCTAATGGAGGAGCTTTCCTGAGGAGGTTCTTTTGCATATGGATTGAATCATGTCTAAATTCTGTGCTCAGAAGCATAACTTCCCCACTCCTCCTCGGCCAAAGCTGCTTTCTGAAATACTTCTCCTGGAAGACAGCAGAGCTGAAGGGCTGTCACAAAAGGGGGAGAATCCCTCCTCTGCTTTTGCACGTGCAGATCTTTTCAGAAAGATCCAACATACAATTTTCTAGTGAGCTGAAGAATTCATATTCTCCACAAATCATAGTACATCTTGTTATTTCTTCAGTGGAAGCATGGTCTGATCCAGGGGTGGCCAAACTTGCTTAATGTAAGAGCCACATGTCAGAATAAATGTCAGATGTTTAAGAGCCACAAGACATGAACAAACATTACACACTTCTATTTTAAAAATATGCACATTTGCTTTTTATTAACATTAAATGAAACGGCCAAAAATAAAAACAAAAGGGGTAAAAACAGATATTGATTTGTCCAATGATATTTATCTGTTTGCTAATGATATTTATTTGTCTAAGAGAGAGAGAGAAAGAGAGAGGTGAAAAGAAAGAAGGAAAGAGGTGGAAAGAAAGACAGAGAGAGAGAAACAAAGAAAGCAAATAGATGGAAAAGAGGGGGAAAAACATGGCTCCCCTTCGCTTCCCCAGCTGCCCTGCACACGGAGAATTTGCTGCGCTAAAGGCATGAATGTCAGGTGGATTTTTAGGGTGTGATCACACCGCAACATCTGGGAAACGTAGCGTACCTGTGGCCAACCCATGGTGTCCCGCCGAAGATGCGGAGTTAAAAAGTACCTCGGAAAGTGCACTAGTATCCGGAAAACGCGGGGCAGGGGCAGGCAGCTGATCACGGGAGCTCTAGTATCCTGTGGCATCTGGCGCCCGTCCCACGTCGCGTCGCAAACTGGATGTTTTTCGTAAGCGCATGCGCACAAACACAAAACTGAAAGCAGTGCTGCTCCGCGGAACTGCGCATGCGCACAAACGCGAAACGCTTGCGTAATTGCGCACGCTGTTTCTTTGCCATGCTGCCGCATCGCTGTGTGATCGCCAGCTAACAGTCGAAGCATGGAGACTCGGGAGACGGTGTGATTGGGCTACCGCACTTTATATTGCTCCGAGGCGAACAGCCACGCCTCCCCCCTCCACGTTATCTGGCCTGTGTGACCGGGGCCAATGTGTGTGAAAGAGCCACACGTGGCCACCCCTGGTCTGAGCCATCAGAATTCAGAGACTTACTTTTATGGCTGTCCAATTTAGCACATCTCATGCTGTACCAGTGATACTTTACACAATATTCCAGGGCTGCGCGTTCCAGGTTGAGATCAATAACTGATTGGTTCCTCTTTGGATCTGTAACGAAGGATGGCAAATTGAAATCTTGCTCCATTATTGAAATATTGGAATCTTGCTCCATTAAACTCCTTGGCTAGTGCTCAGTAGGAAGAGGAAGGCATTCTGATTTATTTCACTTCTCGGCCAGCCTTTCCATGCCGTGCTGCCTATTGTGCGGTGATGCAGAAGTTAATTCTACTTGACACCATTACAGCTTATTCCCAAGGCTTGCGGCCTTGCTCAGAGAAGTCTTTGATACAGAGGAATGGTGTGCCTATGTCTGTGGTAGTGTCTGTGTCTTTTCTGGAAGTTTTTTAAACTGCTGGTTGCAGAATAGTGGTCCAAACAGAATCGACAGGTAGTGGATTACTGGCTTTATATAGGAACATTGTTTCCTTCTGGTCGCTGCCCCCACAGAGACGATTAGGAGCTTCCAAGATCTGTATAGCTCTGATGAACAGGTTGCCAATGAGAATGGTGTGTTTTCTGAGCAATCTTGGGTGCGATGAGTTTCCGGCAGTTTCTCCCAGTTAATGATTACACTCTGCATGTTTGCTCAGGATCAAACTCCCTCCAAGCTGGGGAGTCCTGTGAGCAAAAGTTCTACTTTGTGAGCTACCAGCATTAGCGTCGTGAGCTGGTGATTTGGCTGCTGCATAAATTAGTTTTCTTTGGAGCCATCCTTCCTGAGCTGAGTCAAAAATGTGTGTGCCGGAGGCTAAAAAACTGTGAGCTAGCTCACACTAACTTTGCTTAGAGGGGACACTGAGCATGAGATGTGCTAAACTGTCACTGAGCCCAGTGAAGGGTGCATAGGACCAGACCTTTGATATCTTAAATGTTCCCATATCCACTCACCTCATACACTGAAATCCCATCCTAAGCGTGTGTAAGTGGAGGTGGCGAACCCGTGTTATTTTTTTTCAAAAAAGGAAAATATCCAGGGCTATTTTTGGGCAGGAACGCACAGGAACAGAGTTCCGGCTGGCTCCCGAGTTGGCCACGCCCAGCAGGAACTGATTAGCATAATAGGCCACACTCGACAGCAGGAACTCATTCGGATTGGCTGGCTCCCAAGTTGGCCACACCCAGCAGGAACTCATTAGCATAACAGGCCACACCCAGCAGTAGAAAGTCATTAGAATTGGCTACATTAGGGGTGTGTGGCCTAACATGCAAAGGAGCTCCTGCTACAAAAAAAGGCCCTGGGTTTTGACAACAAACAAGGTCAACAGAATAAGAAGCAAAAGGTGGGTGTGGCTGGATGACCACACTTCTGGTAACATGGGGGTGTGGCCCAATATGCTAATGAGTTCCTGCTGTTGGGTGTGGCCTATTATGCTAATGAGTTCCTGCTGGGCTTTTTCTACAAAAAGAGCCCTGAAAATATCTATCATTCCAGATTGGTAGTGGTGTTGGTTTGTTATAGCGACGCTAAACAGGAGCCCAGTAGCACTTGAAAGATTAACACAATTTATTCCCGCATAAACTTTGGTGAGTCAGCGCTCTCTGTCAAAGATGCATGTGATGAAATGAGCTCTGACTCACAAAAGCTTATGCTGGAATTGTTAAATCTTCAACGTGCCACTAGACTCCTGTTCAAAATACCTGAATCCATTTTTATATATTTCTAGATGAAAGGGTCCCGTTTGTTCTAGGTTTGTTGTTGTTGTTCAGTCGCACGGTCGAGTCCGACTCTTCGGGACCCCATTGTTCTAGGCAGCAACATTTTAGTCCCTAGCCCACGGTCACCCAGTGAGCTTCGAGTTCTGGTTTGACAGTCTGACCACTGTACCACACTTGGGAGGGTCTATGGAGTGATGGCCTTTGGAATTGCTCCAGGATTTGGGGAGGAGCTCCATGGCAGAAGAACATGAGAAGCCAAAGTTGGATCAGGCCAATGGCCCATCCAGTCCAACACTGAGTGCACAGTGGCAGCAGCACTGTGTTCTTTCACCTGTTCCCTCCATGGAAATGGTAGGCAGAATTACCTGGTGGATTCTGCTGTAGCTTCTTCACCCAAAAAGTGATTCGCACATGGGATTCACTGCCACAGGAGGTGGCGGCGGCTGCAAGCATGGATGGCTTCAAGAGGGAACTGGATAAACATATGGAGCAGAGGTCCATCAGTGGCTGTTAGCCACAAGGTATAGATAGGAACTCTCAGTCTAGGGCAAGTGATGCTCTGTATTCTTGGTGCTTGGGAGGAGGGGGCAACAGTGGGAGGGCTTCTAGTGTCCTGGCCCCACTGCTGGACCTCCTGATGGCACCTGGTATTTTTGGCCACAGAGTGTTGGACTGGATGGGCCATTGGCCTGATCCAACATTGGCTTCTCTTATGTTCTTATTATATTGTAATTCATTGTTTTTAATCTAATGCTCTACCACTGCATTCACAGAGCCCAAACTGTGGTCAGCACTATCGAAGAAACCAACCAATCACTTCTTAGTGTTGCAGGAGGGAGAAACAGGTTGTGCCTAATTTGTATAGATGCTGCCTTTGGGCAGGGGGAGTTGTTGTTAGGTCAGAGATTGTTGAATGGTGTATGGATACACACACACACCCCGACAGACTAATGCAGCCTAATCCATTTGTATATACAATGTTGGCTGGACCGGAACTATTAGATTTCTTGCTGCATGCCATAAGAATTGCAACGTATACTAATACCTTCCTCCAAAGCAGCAGTCCCGTGCTCACATACTTGGGTTTAAGTCTTGCTGAACTCATTAGGTCTTAGAGTTAGTAAGTAAACATAGAATTGGGAAGAAAGTTGTTTAGTACTGGTTATATTAATCATATTAAATCTTTTTTCATATTGTCACCTTTTCCAGAACATGAGAGTTCGTACAGTAAAAGGACAAGAGTATTTCTCCAAGTCAGGGGCAAAATTTCATGGAAAAATGGAACAAAAATTTCTTCTTGTCGACTGTAAGAAAGCGATGTATGGTACTTACAGGTGAGAACATGTGTTGCAGTTACAGTTAATTTAAAGTTTAAATTAAAGTTGGAAGTTCAAATTTATAGCCAGATTTATTCATTAACATTTATGTTTTCTAAAATTTTGATATAATTTAAAATACAAAAATGCATTGTTTACTGTTTTAGATATTATATAATCCTTTGTCTGTTTCTCTTTTTGAGTAAGATAATTTCTTTAGGTTCCAGCACAAAGTATGAAGACTGGTTACTAAACTGGAATATAAAACAACAGTTTAAACCAAAATATGTGGCCACTCTCTGTTAAACAACAGAATCCAGTAAATAATTATGCATGCTTAAAGTAAATTGTTACTAAAGTTCACTATGTCTGTGAATATATTTACCTATTTCATTACAATCCACACACATATACAGCCTTCCTATTATAAAACAATACCTAAGGTGGCTAAAATAAAATAACATAAAATATCAGCATCATCCACTGCTTCCTTAGGTAGTTAACAATGGTTTACATGGTGCTTGCCATGAAGGAACTGTTATGGTCCACATACCAAGCATCAATGCAGCAGTAGAACTGAGTTTTCCCAGCTCGTGCACTGGGCATACGGGATCATTCCATGGACACCATCCTTAGTTATTTGGAGGGAATAAACAAAATATTTAAAATAATCATCTTCCAAATCCCTGAGTTCAGTTACTCTTGGAACTATGATTATTTGATACAGAAATCAACAAAGGAATAGTGTGTGTTGTATAATTTACATCTGCAATAATATTATGATTCTTAATTTGCTTCTTTTTTGTTACATTCAGATGGGACACAGGAGGTAAGGTAAATCATATTTTCCTGCCTTCAGATTCCTGCTCAAAGTGTATCTTAATTTACACTGCAAAGTCAGATTGTAAAAATATGATAATTCTGGGCTCCAACACAAATTGTGTTGAAAGTGTCTGATAGTGTAATAATGGTTAGGTTTATGTTTTCCAAAAATAGCTGTTATGTAAAACCTGCTGATATAATATATAAGGATGTTAAATGATTGGATACATCTCAACAAAACAGTGTTAAATGATTAGATACATCTCAGCAAGACACTCAGTATTTTCACCACTATACCGCTATATCTCAGCAACTTCCATTTTGAAAAATATTGTTCAAGTTTTAGCGATTTGTTGCCAATGCCAAAACCTACCTATAGGCAGGGGTCATTTCATAGAAAAAGAGCTAGGGGAACTCATTAGCATAACTCATTAGCATATGCCACACACCCTGACATCAGGGGCCTGGCGGTGGACCTGCAAGGCCAGCGGGAGTGCGAGGAAGCCCCGCCAAGGCCCTCCCTGGCCCCAGGCAGGCAGGGATGGGGAGAGGCGGGGGGGAAGCAACTTACCCTCCCTCTTCTCCTGCCTCCTCCTGGCTGAATGAGGGCTGGAAGCGGGGTGGCCGGAAGCAGGGGGCGGGGCTTCGTTATGTGCCCTGCACCTCACCCGGGTATGCTTAACCATACACTTCACATACCAGTAGCATAAAGTGGCTTCATGCCTTAGCTAGCACTTGTTATGAGGATTAGCCCTCAGTCAGTGTAAATTAAATATATGAAAATATTTTTTAAAGTATTAAAAGGAAATTTATACTAAAACCCTAAACTAGAAGGGTGTATGTCTACCTAGTAGGGGTGTACAATCGGTAAAGCTGAACTGAAACCCCCCCAAAAAAACCTTTCGGTATTTTTCGGGTATTTGGCATACTGAATCAGTTCCCCTGAGCTGATTCGGCTTCCGAATACTGCATGCTGAAAAAAATCCGAAAAACATTCGGGTTTCTCTGGGAGACACTGCTGCCTGCCTTTTCCTCATCCCCATAGGAAACAATGGAGGATTGGGGTCACCTTCTTTGGATGCCCCTAGAATTGGACCCCATGGCCCAGTCTTTTCCAAACTTGGGGGGGGGTCTTTTGGGGAGAGGCTCCAGCAGCTACAGTACAAATTTGGTGCCTCTACCTCAAACCCCCTCCCCCTCAGCCCCCTGAATACTTGTTAGAAGATTTTTGCCATTGACTACAATGGCCCCATAGGATATAATGGAGCCAAACATTTCCAGGAATACTGGTATTGGTATTCAGGTATATTCAGGAATCCCCAAAAAATCCGGCTTTATTATACCTGCACACCCCTACTGCCTAGGCTTGCACTGTTGTTGTCCACTGTATACGTGTGCCTCTCTATCCTTAAAAAGGTAAAGGTTTCCCTTGCTTGAAAGCCAGTCAAATCCGACTCTAGGGGGTGGTGCTCATCTCCATTTCGAAGCTGAAGAGCCAGTGCTGTCCAAAGATGTCTCCGTGGCCATGTGGCCGGCCTGACTAAATGCCTAGGTGCACGGAATGCTGTTGCCTTCCCACCGAAACAGTACCTATTTAGTTGCTTGCAATTTCTTGCTTTCGAACTGCTAGGTTGGTAGGAGCTAAGGCCAGAGACGAGAGCTCACTCCATCAGTAGGCTCTCGAACTGCCGACCTACAGACCTTACCGTCTGCAGCTCAATTGTCTTAACCTCTCAGCCCCTCTATCCTTAAGTCACCACTAAAATATCCGAATGGTCTTGCAACCCCAGTGCACATATGAAAGCAGGAAATATTTCTTTTGACATACAGAAAGGTCCTCAGGGGGTAATCCAATATAGTAACTCTAAAATTGCATCACCAGTGAAGCGTCTTCCTATTTCTTATCTGATTGTTATCCTTTCTTTCTATTTCAGCTTTATGTGGTCCTTTGAAAAAGCCAACCTCAGCATGGTCCAGATCATCACAGGACAACTTGTTGAATCTTTTGATGAGGAGTTCAGGACTCTCTATGCCCGTTCTTCTGTTCCCAGCTCATTTGATCCAGAATTAGTTAGGGTTAATAGCCGGCGAGCTCTCTGGGACCATGATGCATACCAGCATTCACAGTCATCCTTAGCTTCAGTTTCTAGCCAGCGTAATCTTCTGGGGAGGCAAGACAAGATTCACAGCTTCGATCCCAATTTTCTGAAAGCCCGTGGAAGATATGGAATAAATGATAATGACAAATTTGGTAACAGAATTCAGCTCTTTAATAAAACACCACTTCTTCCAGGTTTTCATATGCAGAATAGGATCCAACAACTTCAGTCCAATGAAGAACACTGGAAAAGGCATAGTTATGCTGGGGAGAAACCAGAAAGGACCCCCTATTTGATGCTCAACAGAGCAATGAACAGGACTAACAAATCATCAAATGCTTGGAAAGTACCCTCTGATAGCCTCAGTATTGTATCCTCATTGCATGGAAGTCATACAGACCACCACAATGCACCGCAGCAAAGCTTAGCTGATCGATTCCCGCAGCCCAAACTCAATATGGTAGGAAGGAACTCAATTGTTCGGAGGTCTTTCAACGGAACAGACAGTCACATGCGCCATCTGCAGCAGAAAATGCCAACACTTGAACGTACTACAAAATCATTTCTGCGTAACTGGCGCATTGAATCATACTTAAATGACCAGTCAGATTTTCCAGCAGATTCTAATGGTTCGGGGGTCGGCGAGAGATGTGAGGGCTCCGATGCAGCTGAAAATGTCAAAGCTCACGCTCTTTATGCCCATTCTCGCCTGCGTTCTTCGTTTGTTTTTAAGCCTACGTTGCCAGAACAGAAGGAAGTAAATAGCTGTGCCAGTTCTTCAAATTCAACTATCATTGGTTCAGAGCATAGCGAGACACCTAAAGCAACGCCCAATCACCTTCCAAAGATACAAGATGTGACTGACGACACAGAGACAGAACCGAGCCCTAATGTCCCCCTTGAAGTTGGCGTAGTAAAAAGCCAGAGCCCACAACTCTTAGAAGATAAAAAACCTAGTTTTAATCCTCCTGTTATCAGAGAGCAGCCTGCCTACTTAAATACAGCTGTGAGTACGAACAGACCGGTAGAATTTCTGAAAAATCATAGAAACGAATATATATTGAAAAGACGAAGTTTCCCAATATTTAACCAATCAAAATCAGCTTTGGATAACGGGGACAACAAAGAGGAAAGCACCTACATCTACAGCACCCTAAATAGGAATAGAATTAAGCCACCACTCATTATAACACCTCCTCCAGAGGATGCACTAAAAATCTCCAAAAGCTTGCACAGTGTACCCGGTCATCTAGCAGATGATGCTAAAAACCTCAGAACTGAACCAAAAGGCTCTTGCGCTGCCAAGTCTATCTCCGTGGCTGCATTAGTCGAAGTGAGCAACGACGAATCGAGTAAAGACGCCTTGCCAAAGAAAGAGAGCAAGAACTCTCCAAATTTCCTCAAAAAGGGGTCGCAGAAGCTGAGATCGTTGTTGAATCTTACTCCAGACAAGAAAGAAAACTTGTCAAAAAGCAAAGCGCCTGCTTTTTACAGGATGTGTAGCAGTTCTGACACTCTGGCGTCGGAAGACGAAGGGAATCAAAAGGCCAAGGTGTCTGAGCTGAAAGCTGACTGCTCTCCACGAAAAAAGAGAATGTCCTCCTCTAATTCACAAGGCAGCTTACATAGGAGTAAGGAGGATGTGACTCTGAGCCCGACAAAGTCCCCCAGATCACCCAAGCTCCCCAAATCTCCCAAATCCCCCAAGCCGCCAAAGTCACCCAAGTCTCCAAAATCTCTAAAACCTCCATCAGAAGAAAACCTCAAGAGATGTCCCGCTGTGATGCCCTTGGAAAATATGTTGTTAGAGCCTGCAGGTGATGTTTCAACGCCCAGGTTTAACACTGAACAGATTCAGTACCAAGAGGCCAGGGAGGTGTCTACAAACAAAGCCCGGGCACTTGCTCACGCTCCTGCCGGAGTCCTTTCACAAAGAGCCAATACGCAGAGGGCCAACACGGTGACAGCTCACCCTTCAAGCACAAAGCCGAAAGATGAGCTGCTGAGATCTCGCTTGAGTGAAAGGCGCGTTTACAGTCGCTTTGAGCCCTTCTGTAACATGGAAAGTTCAGCTCAGCAGCAAGGAGGAGTCCAGTCCAGAGGCAGCACACCAAAAAGCAGCACTCACGTCTCAGAGACAAGCAGCAAGGCCTCCGGAAACAACTATTCAAGGAGTAATCAGGTGGCGACCTACAACCCGCGTCTTTACCATCCGTTGCACCCAAATGAAAACAAATTTCGGGGCTTTATGCAAAAGTTTGGGAATTTCATATACAAAAACAAATAAAACGTAGATCTGGAACTTAAAAAAAACGACCCACGGCGATGTTTCAGACTGTTATGCAGCTTTTGTAAAGCTTCACTGAAGTTACCACGGGGTTTAGAAGACCACCGCATGTGTGTATAACTTTACAACGTCCAGAACTTTTGTTCTTCAGCTCAGGATAAGTTTTGAAATCGAAAGATGTTTTTTATGTGCTTGCATTTTTTAAAAAAATGGGATTCGAGATGCCTTTGTTGCCTTACCGCACAATATAGGTGCGTTATAAACCCTAAGAATAACAGCAGGCCAAAGGAAATGTTGCAGACACTTGTTAATACCTCACGGCCTTTGTACACAAACACTTTCATGCTTAATAAATGCATTTGTGGATTTTTTGCTCTCCTTTTTTTTTTTTTTTTTAAACACAGTCCTGTCAAGGTTGTGCTTCATGGGGGAGAGTTACATTTTCTGAACACGGGATATACATTAACGTTGTGCCACAAAGTATTGTACCAAGGTCACCCATTATACACATCTTCAGTACTTGAAGTACATTTCCTGTCCTGCCAAATACATCCATTCTCTGCTCCTAAGGTGCTTGTAGGGTGTGAAATGTGACTGTTCCAGTGTCACTGGAAATTCATTGTGACAGTGGGGTGTATCGTACCACACCATTGAACAAAGTTGGAAGCCTTCATCCAGCCAAAGGAGATTTTCTCCAACTTACATACCTCTTTAGTGGAGGAAGGCTTCCTGGAGGATGATTGAATCCACCCCATTACTGATAACTGGCAATTCAGCTCTCTCCATAACCCTTCTGTGTACTTTCTTTTTTTAAAAAAATGTTTTTATTTTGCCGCCAAATGCATCCAAAGCTGCAAGGACAAATTGAGCACCTGTGGTGAAAAAAAATTTCCCCCTCAGAATTGCAGCTTTCATAGATAATCTCTCTAGTGTGCTAAGCCTGAGAGAGTGAGCGTTGGAATGCAACTCCTAGATATTGATAAAATTGGACTTCTTCCATAACAGGACCTGGGTTTTTTTGTTTTTAAATAGTTTGAAATTCTTATCAGAAGAGATAAGAAAATTCTTATCAGAAGGGAATAAAATCCCCTCCGGGGGTCTAAAAAAAAGTGTGTGAGAGAGAGTTTTGCACCCAGTTGGCATCCCCCTTCCCAACAGAGTACAGGTCATTTGAGAGAAATCCACAAAATTCGCTCCTTTTAAACACGGTTAGTGGTATGTGCAGACGTTTCACAGCCGTATGGGATAGCAGAACAGGGAAGTGGCCGCCACACGGTGCTGTGTGTCTGTAAACGCCTATGTGATCCCCTAAAGTGCCTTTACAGGATGTAGGAAAGGACATCTTGCCTGTCTTCCCCCCCCCTCAGGCCCATAGCTACAGTGGGGCACCTCGGTGCTAGGCCCCCTGACTTCCTGGCAAGGCCCCCTCACTTCCCATCCATCCCAGGCCCCCAAGTGGTGGCGGATGTGGGGAAGGAGCTGGGTACAATGTTCCCTCTAAGCTGTGGAGTCCTGTGAGCAAAAAGTCTACTTTGTGAGCTGCTGGCATTGAAGTTGTGAGCAGGTGATTTGGCTGCTGCATAAATTAGTTTGCTCTGGAGCCATCCTTCCTGAGCTAAGGCAAAAATGTTTTTAGGATTGCACCTTGGGTCTGAATGAAATTAGTAGGATGCAGGGCTATTTTTGGGGCAGGAACGCACAGGAACGGAGTTCCGGCTGGCTTCAGAGTTGGCCACGCCCACTACAGCCAAAATCTGTACGTGCGTGGCTACAGAGGGAAGGCCTGGAGAGCGACCCCCCCAGTGACTCCAAGGCGGACGGGCCGGGGGGTGGTGGAAGGATTGGGGAGGCCTCCCTGTGCCTTCCCTGGCCTGTCCAAGTGCTGGCTTGCCCGGGCTCCCCACAGCCGCAGAGCACCTGGGCAAGCCAAGGGAAGGCACGGGGTGTGGCCTAATATGCTAATGAGCTGTGTGGTCAGGGTGTGGCCTAATATGCTAATGATTTCTGCTGTTGGGTGTGGCCTATTACGCTAATAAGTCCCTGCTGGGCTTTTTCTACAAAAAAAGCCCTGGTAGGATGTATGTTTCATTAACCCAGTTCAGATATCACAAATGCAATTCTTCAAACCTTTGGAAGCTTGGAAATAAGCTATGAACTTCTACATTCCTTCTGCTCACCCTCCATCCTCTTCACACGTATGGTCTCTTTTTCATTCCTTGACTTTCTCTACTAGTAGTTTGCCATGACGTTTGAATTAACTTGCAAACTTGCTTCAGATCATGGTTCAAGTTATGGCTTGAAGCAAGGAACAACAAACTATAGCTTCTTGGTTTACTCATTGTGCAAACTGTAGCTACAGAAAATCAAGAAAAGGAAACCTGGAAGTCCTTCATGCACAAATCTGTGGCATGTTCCTGAGATTCTGAGTCATCGTTGATACTTCGCAGAGTTTGTGATGTCTGAACCGGGCTGCTGTGCGCTGAATCATACCGTCTTGCCTTTTCGGCTTTTAGGGGTTCAAAAGAGTTGAAAAGTAATTTTGTTATAGCATATGTGAGTTGGGATGATATTCATCCCAAGTTAAGCACTTTTGAATTCCTCTGATACAGTCAACAGAGAGTTAAGCAGAAAATCCTGGAAAAGCTACAGCAACTAGTCTACAGCAACTAAAGCATACTGAGCTATTCGTTTGCATCATGCACAGGTCTTTATGAATACCAGTCCAAGTAACCTTTGGCTGGATCATGTCCTTAACTTTTTAAAGTCATTTTGAATGCCTCTTGCCTGTGTATTTGATTTTGTTCAAGAGGGGCCAGTGATCAGTCAAAATAATAAACAGAGGACCTACCTTTTTTTAAAAAAATACTGTGTGGATTTTGTTTTTGTTTTTTTGCATATCTTGGATACCTCAGAGTTGTCTTCTGAAATGTTACTGCCATAGTTACCATTTACACTCTTAAAATTAAGAACTGCCTGTGATGGATCAGACCAAGGTCCATCTAATCTAGCACTGTCTACATAGTGTTAAACAAGATACCTCTACAAAGCTTATAAGACAAAAGAACAAGAAGGAGATAGCCAGCCTCCTAGAATTAATTAATCCAAGCTGTATCTCACCAAGTCTCAGGAATTCAGGGTAGTATAAATAGAAATACCACCTTTTCAACAATATCCATGTCCCAACAGGACTCATCCCTGCTTATTCTTCCCTTGCTGGATTTCTCTCAGGACCGATCACAAAAATCACTTGCACAAAAAGCAGCTTCCCCACTAATTATATCACTGGGCTTTTTTTCTTGTCTATGAGCTCAGGTCATGTGCATGACGTTTCCCCATTTTCCTCTCTAAACACTCGGACTCTGTGCGACTGAACAACAACAAATGAGCTCAGGTCATGTGCATGACGTTTTCCCATTTTCCTCTCTAAACAGCCAGTAAAATGGGTAAGGCTAAGAGTGAAAGATCGGCTCAAGATTACCCCATGAGCTATATGGTGCAATGGTATTTAACCTTATGTCCTCCCAGTTAGTGTTCCCTCTAAGCTGAGTTAGTGTGAGCCAGCTCACAGTTTTTTAACCTCTGGCTCACAGAGTTTTGTCTCAGCTCAGGAAGGAGGGCTCCAGAGCAAACTAATGTATGCAGCAGCCAAATTGCTTGCTCACAACTTTAATGGTTGTCGCTCCCAAGGTAGAATTTTTGCTCACAAGATTCTACAGCATAGAGGGAGCATTGCTCCCCGTCCTTATGTAACCAGGGCCGTGATCACATGGGCAGTATGGCCTGACACAGCCACTCCTCCCTTCCGGATCAAATGGGCGCAATCAGACAGCCACATCTGTCAGGCGTTCCCCAATCATACGTATCCCATCATAGGATGACTCGGAGCCGGGTTAAAAAGGCACCACATCACAAGTGGTGTTTTCGGTTTCCTGCACAGTCATTGCGCATGGCCGGATGTCTGAATGCAGGGAAGCGTGTGCAGAACGGATTTGGCAGTCCGAACCTGCAGATCCATTCTGCTGCTAGGGAGGGTTTTTTTTAATTGCCTAAGTGCGCATGTGCACACGCATGCACACTTATGCGCGCATGAATTTTGAGATTTTTTTTGGCAACGTGCTCCATGGCTGAGGCACTGCAGTAATGTGGATGCTTTACCACGGGATGTCTCTGTGGATAACCCACAGCAGGGTGTGCTGTGTGGCTGATATGCCCCGCAACACTTTCAGTTGGAGCCGAGCCGCCAGTGTGACCACGGCCCAGGACACTACACATTATTTGTGAAATATGACAGATGCTAGAAAACCTGGAAAATTAAGAAACAATACTAAATTCTCTCAGTTGATGATCACATAATGAGGGTATGGGAACGGGAAACCTAGAAGAGTAATACCATAAACATCAAAATGCTGCATGAGGTCTATCATTTAAAAAAAATAACAATAGCAACTGAACCACAAGAAACAATAACCCTCCCGTTTCCCCCCAAATAATGTTTTTAACCTCTCCTTCAATATTAATGCCAGTTTCGATTGTAATCTGCACCAAGAAAATATGGTGTGCACTGTGTATAGAGGGATCAGTTACTACGATCCCACGTGATTTCATTGAATGTTTCTGGTTTTTTATTTGCAAAGTTTGGTGATGGAGCGACGTCTTGTGCTGAATGTAAGTGAATTTTATTAAATGCATCTTCATACAGTTTTCGAAGAGATGTTATCTGTCTTTTAGGAGTATTTGTTAAGCAAGGGAAAAAATAGTGTCCCTATCTAGAAATATGTCTTGATTGTCATGCTTTGGAAGAGGTTTATATATTTTTTTCCTGAGGAAAATAAAAGGAAACTATGTTGGAAAAGATTCTCTCTACTTTAGTCATTGCTTAATTTTTTTCAAGGGCCCATGGTCAAAGAATGAGATTAGAAAAACTCCATTAAAGGGTTAGTGTTACGGGAGGGAATTACACCATTGACATTTTCATTTCAGAGAGCAAAATGTCTTGGGCTGGCCCTGAAGGCAGACATAATACAAAATAGAACAAAGTTTGAGTCCAGAGGCACCTTTAAGACCAACAAAGTTTAATTTTGTGTATAAGCTTTCATGTGCTTATTTTCTCGTGTATGGTAAGCAGAGTTAAAGAAGCTATTCCATAGAATGTAACAAGTTCCAGAAAACCATTTTCCTATCCAATTTCTCTGTGGAAATAACAAATGTAGAGTCCAGCGGCACCTTTAAGACCAACAAAGGTTTATTCAAGGTATGAGCTTTTGTGCGCATGCATACTTTATCAAATACATAGAATGGCAAAAATCTCTCTGTGGAAATATTCAGGTTTCTTAAAATAATGCTAAAAGA